AGAGAGAGAGAGAGAGAATCCTAACCACGCTCCACACTCAGCACGGAGACCAACAAGGGGCTGTATCCCATGACCCCAAGATCATGACCTGAGCCAGGATCATGACCTGAGCCAAAATCATGAGTAGGACGCTCAACCAACAGAGCCAGTCAGGCACCCTATGAATTAACTTTAGAACCTCACCTCTGTGTAAGAAAAAATTCTACTGCAGACTTCAGAGAACAGAATAGCTACATATTTTACCCAACAGTATTAGCATTTCTACCACATCATTAATACCATATACATAAACTATTCCATCAAAGTTCTTATTTTAGAAGTAAAACAAAAGAAAACGCCAAAAAAACCCAGATACTTAAAAGATATTTTACATGCTTTCATCATATGTAACAAAAGCCAAGTTAAGGGACAATAGTTCATAATGAATCTGAACTTCAAACTGAAACAAAAATCTGCTTCTTTTTTAATATCAATTTATTCAATTAGCTGTCAATATAGCAAGATGATGGGCATCTATTAGAATTTGATTTCAGACCCTCTCCTTTCATCCTCCATAACTTTCTGTTTGTTTATCCATTCTTCTGGTTTCACTTACTCCTGCTCACATATAATACCCATACCTACTTACAATATTTTTAGAAGTTGATTTTTCAAGATAATTTTTTAAAAATAGCAGCCCCCTGCACTTCACTATTCTCCTTAAAAGCAACCACTTTTACCATTTTAGGGTAATTATTTTGTATTTAATGAAAGCTCTTACTTGCAAACATCTCCATCTCACATACACACCCACCCCCACACCAAATAAATACAGTACCAGAAAGGAAATATCACATGCCAATTTCAGCACCATAAATATAAAAATCCTAAATAGATAGCACAAAGAAGCCAACAATTTGTAAAGAGAATAATACATCTTAGTCATATTGGTTTTATTCCAGTAATGCAAAACTTGCTCAACATTAGAAAATCAACTTTACAATTTGCCATACCAACAGATCAAATGGAAAAATCATAAGATCATCTCAGATGAAAAAAGTTTGACTTTAACATCCTTTCATGTTTAAAAAAAGAAGAGCCTAACAAACTAGGAAGAGAGGATAAATTCCTTAATCTAACAAGCCATATCTATTTAAAAAACCAACAGCATACATCAACTTAATGGTGAAACTGAACATTTCCCTCTGGGATTAAACAAGTAGGACACCTATTTCCAATTCTGTTATTCACAAAATCTTAGTAGCTCTATTTCCAATATATATCCCACATGCATTACATATATCCAAATGCATTCACTTCTATCTTTGGTGCCCCCAACATAGTTCAAGCTACAATTACCTCTCGTGTAAACTATTGCAAAATGCACCTAATGGTCTCCCTACTTTCATTCTGATCCCCCATAGTCCCTTATTTACATAGACAGTTATCTTTTTTTTTTAAGCTTTATTTATCTTGAGAGAGATAGAGGCTGTGTGAAGGGGGGAGGGGAGAGGTGGTGGAGGGGGGGGGGTGGAGAGAGAGAGAGAGAGAGAGAGAGAGAATATCCCAAGCAGACTCCATGCTGTCAGTGCAGCAGTGCACAGCCCAACCTAGGGCTTGTTCCCATGAACCGTGAGATCATGACCTGAGCCGAAACCAAGAGACAGTGGCTTAACCAACTGAGCCACCCAAGTACCCTGACAGTTATCTTCTTAAACATAAGTTACATCTAAGAGACTCACCTACTTAAAACCCTTCAATGGCTTCCCATAGTACTGAGAATAAACTCTTCACCAGGATTTACAAAGCTCTACAAGATCTGGTCTCCACCTTCCTCTCAGACTTCACACTTCACCTGATGCTACTGTCTTCCTCACTATGCTAGCCACATTGGCATTTCCATTCCTGCACACACAAAGCTCTTTCCTGAGCCACTGAATTTATATTTGTTATTCTCTTTTGGCAAAAAAAGCCACGAAAAGCACCCTTTGTAGCATTGTGTATGTCTCGTTTGTAGCATTACCACAACTACAATTTAAAAGTCTGTTACATAAAGTAATTATTCCTGTTACTCCCCCAAACTACCTATGACCCATTAATAAACCCTATGAGAATAAGGCTGGTGTCTCTTACCCTCACTATTATATTCTGAGAAACTAGCACATGCTTTGTACATAATAGGAGCTCAATAAATATTTGAATGAGTAATTAATTCTTTTAAGTTACCTCTACCATCACTGACTTCCATAGTTTTTCTCCTTTTGAGAATATTTTTAAATTCAGTGACACATTCAAAATTCACAGAGGGGTGCCTGGGTGACTCAGTCGGTTAAGTGTTGGCCTTTGGCTCTGGTCATCATCTTATGGGTTCGTGAATTCAAGTCCCACATGGGGCTCTGTGCTGACAGCTCAGAGCCTGGAGCCTGCTTCAGATTCTGTGTCTCCCTCTCTCTCTACCCCTCCCCAACTCACACTCTGTCTCTCTAGCAAGAATAAATATAAACATTTTTTAAAATGTTTAAATAAAAAAACCAGGGGCGCCTGGGTGGCGCAGTCGGTTAAGCGTCCGACTTCAGCCAGGTCACGATCTCTCGCGGTCAGTGAGTTCGAGCCCCGCGTCAGGCTCTGGGCTGATGGCTCAGAGCCTGGAGCCTGTTTCTGATTCTGTGTCTCCCTCTCTCTCTGCCCCTCCCCCAGTTCATGCTCTGTCTCTCTCTGTCCCAAAAATAAATAAACGTTGAAAAAAAAATTTTTTTTTTAATAAAAAAAAATAAAAAAACCAAAATTCACAGACAAAAATATTAAATACTATAAAATCAAGATCACCTAAACATCTTCACTGTTTGAAATAGTCCTATCTAACCTGCAGACCTACTGGTCTGCAGCACTTAATTAAATGAGATTCAAAGCTTATTTAGGTCCTCCTTTAAAAAAAAATTGTTATATAACTGTAAGTTCCACTTTCAACAGAAATAGGTACCCCAGATCATGTTAAGCTTCATTTATAAAATGCTGTTATGGTGGAACTCTTTATTGCTCTCACATTAACTAATTATTGATTGGTTGTAAAAGTGTGCACCTGGCACCCAAGGGTGCTACAGCATACTCACAGAAGTGTCCTAGGATTTTAAATTTTTGAGAGAAACAGCAATTCTTGACATCTGTCGGGCACCATGAATACTACTTATTCAAAACAGTACCCATTTGTATTACATTAGTTTTGATAACATATTATTGCCAAGTCGGATTTTTGGCAGTTACTATGATATGAAGCACATATTTTTTATCAACGTGGTACAGGAGACGAGGGTGGCAGTGTCCAGTATGATTCCAAGATTTGAGAAGTTGTGTAGTGTTCAACAGGCAAACATATCCAATTAGTAAATAATTGAGATTACTTAAGAAGAAAATATATTATCTTTTCCTTCAATTTATGCATATTATTTTTTTTTTCAAATGGCTACTAAGCAGTTAGGACATAAATTTATTACAACTTAATTTTTTAAGTTGTTTGGACCTAATGACTTAATAAATGGAACTATTATGTGTTTTTTGTTTTTTGCGTGTGTTTGTTGTTGTTGTTTTTTGACCTTCGGGCACCTTGAGCCAAAAAAGTTTGGTAATTACTAGTCTAAATAATCCAGAGGTGTGCAAACTACAGCTACTGGGCCAAAGGAGCCCTTATATGAGTGTTTTTTCTTACATTTTCAATGGGTTGTAGAAGACAAAAGAAAAAGAACACAAAACAAAAAACAAAGAACATGCAACAGAGACAATGCTGGTGACCAGGTGACCACGTAGACTGCAAAACATGAAATATTTTCTATCTGGCTCTTTGCCTACTCCTGCATTTACACTACCAATACCTAGAGTATTGGTAGAGTTACCAATACCAATACCAATACCTTAACCTAGAGTTAAGGTATTCCATGGTGTCCACTAATACAGGCTCTAGACTTGTGCTGTCCAATACAATAGCTATTTAAATTTAATTTAAAAGAAATAAAATTGAAAATTCGGTTCTTCACTCACAATGGCCACATTTCAGGCATTCAGTTGTCATTTGTGACTAATGGTAACCATGTTGGGCAGCACAAATCTAAAACCTTACCATTATCACTGAAAGCTTTATTGGACAGCATTATCAATATCTAGAGCATCTTCTATGCTCTTATTTAGCATCAAACACGTCATTGATACTACCATTCCAAACATTGTATCTGTGTCATCTTGTATACATTTCCAGCCATTCATTCACGCAGTTAAAAAGAATTATACTGCTTTGAACCCACGCTTTAATTAGCAAAATTTTAGCCTGACTCGACTCTGCAAAGCATCCTTCTCTACAAGTTCCACCTCATATGCCCCTTTCTCCACAAAGCCTCCTTTAGTCTCCAGTGCCTAAAGCATCCAATAAGCTTTCCCCTTTCCGTGCTCCCATACCACCTTACAATTTCCTATCATCCTTTACATTGTCTTGTATTCTAAATATTTGTGTAGATTAATCATTTCCCTTTCTGGACTGTGTGTAAACTCCTCCAGATTAGGGACTCTGCATCATTCGCTCCCGGCCCTAGCACAAGACAAGGAACCCAATAAATATCCGAGGAATTCGAGTCATCCAATTCAACTGAAGTGAAAAGCTCTGCTCTGGTTTTCTCTGTCGTATCTCTACAACTTTATCTCTAAAAATCCAATTGGCAATACTGTTTTGAGAAAATTTTTTCTTAAACTCTATTACTGAGATAAGCAGCAAGAAAACGGGGGTTTAACTCCGAGCTACAAATGACACAGGGAGATTTGCCAAAACTCGTCTGCGGCGTACTGATACTGGCTTTATTTGTTAATGTTCTTGTTACCGCATGAAACCGAATGTCTGCTCACTGCTGCTAGCACACGGATCAGACACTGCAAATAAACTACGACCAGTCGAGCACTTAAAACCACTCATCGCTGTCACTTCATTTATAGCTACGAAAAGACAGAGTGGGAAATACAAACCGCCGGGAGTCGCAGGGAGCGAGGAAGAGTCCGGGAGCGCTGACAGAAGAGATGGCAAGGCGGGGCGCCGCGGACCCGCAATCCAAGCAGGCCCGACGGGCCCAGGTGTGGAGGGAGAAGTGCTAGGGAGGAGAAAGGCGCACAAAGTGCAAGCCCGGGTGAGCAAAGGACCCCCAAGCAGGCAGAAACTTCTACTCCCGGCCCAGCGCTTTCGGAGGCCGCCAACGAAGAGGGAGGGAGCGTCCCCACCTCCGACCGCCGGGCCTTCAGAGCGCCCAGAAAAAACCTAAAGCCTCCGCCACGGAACCCTGGAACGAAAGAATCATTCTCTTTACCCACCGCAGTCCAACTGCTTGACAAATGCTCCTCAGACTTTTTTGGGGTCCGCGCGCTCCTCAGAAAGAGCCCGCAGCCACCCACTAACTTCACCTCACAACGCCCCGACTGCCTCGGTGAGGTATTCAAATCTAACCGCCTAGCTATTGCACATGCGCAAAGCTGCTCTACGCGTCGGCTCCGCCCCTTAGGCTCCGGAACAACCCAGTACCCGACTCCTTTAAGCAAACTTCTTTCCCAGTCTGTGTATCAGTTTTACTTCTTTCAAGGTTATCTCGTTTTCAACCGAATTTTCCTTGGTCCCTCCCTATTGTAGATCCCTCACATTACGGGAGCAGCCATCTTCTTTTGATTACTTGCTATAACAATATCGGATCTTTGTTTCCGTACAAAATGGCGGCTTCCATAACATTGCGTCATATCCCCCTAGTGTTACTCCCTATAGCTACCAGGAAGCACTAGGCTTCTGGGACGAGGTGGCCGAGTGGTTAAGGCGATGGACTGCTAATCCATTGTGCTCTGCACGCGTGGGTTCGAATCCCATCCTCGTCGGATGCAGCCTTTTTTGCCTCGGACTGACGTAAACTTATGCAAGTGAAAATAGTTGATAATTCCAGTTACGGATTTACTAGTCAATTTATTCTGGCGTCACCAATGTCAGGCTTGGCCAAAAGCTGTCTTTTGGAGCACTCTAACCTCACAGATAAAGAAGACAGGGAAAGAAACATTCCAGAACACATGTGTGCTTGATTTAGTTTCTTTTTATATGAAACAAGCAACAGTGCATAGAATTCTACCGTTATTGCCATCCCTATATATTCCAATGCTGGTCTGCTCCGTCTTAATTAACCTAGCTTCTGAGTGAGGGAGTTTAATTGCTATAAACTCTTACCCCAAGGTTTTTAATACCTGTCCTTGCTATGAAATACCAGGTTTCACTGCAAAAGCCACTTGGAGGCACAGTGTTGAAGATTCTCTTCCAGCTCCCAGCAGGCTGCATGTGCTCAAGAAAAGTATACACTGGGAAACATTAAAAATATGTTGACAACATATGGAACCTTGGCAGTATCTAGAAGCCAGAGAGTGAAGACCTGAAACACGGCTACCTTCCCAGAGAAGAAAGTGTTAAACTCTCTCTCAGATTTAAGCTGAGAGGGAGGCACAGGGGAGAGAAAAAGAAAAGAGAGGGGTTCTCCTCTTCAAAGGTCATCAGGCAGATTTATTCAACTCATATTTATCCTTTGTTTATCCTCTATTTATTATCTACAGGCGCCACAATGAATTACATCACTTTAACTCATCATAACCCTATGATCATGATAGACATTTTTATTACTCCTTTTTACAGATGAGTACACTGAAAGATAAGTTTGTCGGAGGCTATACAGCTTCTGTAACTGTGTAAGAAAGGGCAGTGTAACCCAAGTCTGTCGAACTCCGGTGGGTCTTAATCAGCATCCAATACCATGACAGAGATTAGTATTTAGTGCTCATTAATCCCTTGCAGAAATGATTTACATGTTCTCTCTCTCACAAGGCTGAGCACGCTGCATAGTGCCACAGAACCTGGCACCTGGCTGGTGCTTCCGCAAGGTTTGCCGCACTGAGAGCGGAAGGCAGAAGCCCCTGCTCTGCTGGCACCACTGGTTCCTCCCTCCTTAAATCCAAATCCCTTGGGAATGTTGATGCCTCCCTGAGTTGAGGGCTTTGGCTCACCCCAGCAACTGTCTTCAGTCTTGCTCTTTCAATCCATTCACCACCCTGCTGTTAAGAAAGGTTTTCGGTCTGATTTCCACACACTCATAAAGTGTCTATGGATAGAATTCAATTGGTTATTTGGTTGGAGGGAAAAATGCATCTTTATTTTCACTAATCTATCATTGAAAGCACTGCCTTCAGTAAAGGTAAGCAATAAACTACAGTAATATTAACGTTGCCTGTGATTTTGTTACCAAGAGAAATCACAGATATTTTAATAAATTTTTATATCCCCTTACATGCTCATAACTATTTCAAAATAATAGTTATTACACTTGCCAATACATCTTGTAATGTTACACATTCCTGAAGGTACATACATTATTATATTATTGTAACACAGATTTTAAAAATATTTTGATAATTGTATTCCAACAGAACTGTTGCCTTTGAATTCCAACAAACTTAATTTTATGCATTTAAAAACAATATTCTGAGAAGGGACCCAACGACTTCAGCAGACTGCCAAAGGGGTCTATGTCACAAAAACGGGTAAGAATCTCTGAGGAGACTTTTCTAAAGCACCGTGAAGATACTGACCTTAACCTGAACTAGGCCTTTCTCTCTCTACACAGATGCTGTTCCCACTCCTCTCCCTGGAACATGTTCCTACTCCCCTGTACCTCCTTCCAATTCACCCCTGCCTGGCTGGCTCCTGCTCCTCCTTCAGATCTCAGCTTAGACATCATCCACATCAACCAGCCTCCCCCTTGCCCTGCAACCTGCAGCTCCTTCTTGGATTCCCTGCAACTGGACCCTGTGCTCTCTCTCTTGCTGTCGGGCCTTTGCGCTCCTACTAGTTGCTTCTGTAACTCCCTGGGTTTCCCCCAGGACTTGCCAGACAGTTTTTAAATTGCTCATTAGGACTGCAACCTCTCTAAAGACTGGCAAGCCTGCATCATTTCTCTGAGTTCTGCCTGCTTCTGGCAGTGACCAGTGCCTATGGAAAACCGATAGTCTATTCATGAGTCCAGTCTGTACAAATAAAAAGCAAGTGGATTGCTTTCCCAAAGGAAAATCTTCAGCTGTAGAAATCCTGATAATACAAGGCACTGAAAGTGTCTGGAGAAAAAAAAAAAAAAAATGTGAGTGGAGGCTCACTTTTCCAGTCTTCAGTTCTTTACCTGTTTTCATGCTTAGTTCATTGTGGTTTCTTTCATATGAAATTGCAGCGATACTCGCCATGACAATCCCAGTTTTTGCATTTTCTATAATCTCTTGATCTGTAAGAACTGTGCCTATTTTAACTTTTTCTAAGAGAATCAAAAGAATCAAAAACGTCCCAGATTATTTAAAGGGCCACGATGGGCGCTGAGAAGGGCGGGGAAGGGGGCGGGTGGACCAGGGGTTAGCAACGGAAAAATAAAATTGTAGTACATCAGTAAAAGAGTTAGAGGCGCCATCTACTGGCGCAACTGCAACTGCAAGACTTGGACAAGGTACTTCTACAGCAATGCCTCCTACCTTTGGAAAGATCCCCCCATCACTCCCAGAAATTCGTCAATACACCACAGGTCAGGGAGACGATTCTCTATCAACACCGGGGTTCTTCTTCACAAGGCCTATCCTGAACTATTGCGGGACTCCTCAACCGCTGGAAGAACACAAGAGAAAAAAATCATTGCACAGTCAAAAGCACTGCCAAGATATTTCAGCTCTTTTACTTTTCAGTGCCAGGGAGTGGGTCTTCATTCTCCAAATCCAGTTTCAGGAAAACCCACTCTCTTCAAGAATGAGGTGCTCTGGGAAGAACTGTCCGGTGTTTAGTTGGTGACAGGGCAGAGCTTTGAAGGAAGAACTGAAACCAAATGAAAAAAAAAATTTTTTTTTTGGTGTGCCTCCACTTTATTAACTCTTGCAAGGAAAACCCAGACCTTGAGCTGCAGGGCTCACAAAGATTGGTTTGGAGAGCCAGGCAATGACAGAAGTGAGTTTAGTCTGTTCCTCACCATTAGGAAGTATGGTCTCACTGGAGAACCAGTTATAGGAAAACAGTCATGACAAGGCCTGAAGAAGTTCGAGAGTGAATCTAGGTGTTCTCTGTGCCTGCAACACCAACCAGAAACATTTTTCTTTGCTCAAATAATTCCCTGAGCTGCATGCTATTATGTGAAAGCATCCCTCTTGCTATAACAGCTTCTGCAAATGCCTCCTGAGTTGAAAACTAAATAATGTTTTCATATTGAAGATTAATAGAGCAAAAACTGAAAGTTTTTAGTAACCTTATGATAAAACTCAGTTTATAGTAACCTTGCTTAGGAAGGACAACATGAATAAATGCCAATAGACTGGGGAACAACACTTGCTAGATCCCCTTGCTTTGTGTCTTCTGCTGAGGTAGCTATGGATAATTAGCAAACAACAACCAGTTACACCTTTCCTTCCCATCACATTGAGGAGGAACAATGACCCAGATTTCTAAAAAATTTCTTAATGTTTACTTATTTTTGAGAGAGAAAGGGAGAGAGGGAGAGTGTGCATATGTAAGCCGGGGAGGGATGGGGAGGGGGATGCAGAGGGAGGACAGAGGATCCAAAGTGGGTTCTGTGCTGACAACAGAGAGCC